TGAAAAAGCCAAACAATGTTCTTTTTAAAAGAGAATGTGTCATTGTTACACTAGTATATCATGCTCAAAGTGTAGTGAACAAAACAAGTCATCTCGTTTTTCTTTTTCTTTTTCTTCTTCTTTTTTCTTTTCCTTTTTCTTTTTCTTTTTCTTTTTCTTTTAAGATGGTATCACTTTTGCTTGTAAATATTCATTACTTGTAAAATGTGTTGATCAGCTGAATATATACATATTACCAATGAAACCAGAGCTTGGAACACACAGTTCTGTTCTTGGGACGTTGCTTATATTTTGGAAAATTGATGGTGGGGATTTGTGTCAGTTTGTAAGATATCTTGTAAATACAGTTACTTTTATTTTCAGACGAAAGGAAAGCACTGATCTCAATCAAAATTCATGAAATTGCGTTTTGACAGTATGTATTGCCCCTTTGAACTTGCATTGTGTTTCCTGGAAAAAGAATCGAATCACTTGGTTAGAGAGTGCAAGAGAAGACAACAGGGAAGAGGAGAGAAGGGAAGGAGGAAGGAGCCTGAGGGTGGGGTAGTAGAGATGCCCTTGAAAAAATGGTGCACATTAGGACATGGCATTACTTTGTAAGGAAAAAAAGGGCTCAACTTGCCCCCTTTTTTCTTACTTTGTACGTAGTTGTTGGTCTGCATCCGAACTGAACCGGCTAGGCCGTTAGAAAAATTGATTCTCAGATTTTCCAAAATGAGTAATTTCAGATGAATTGGCGTTTTACAAACATAAAGGAAGAACTGTACATTGAGAACTGTACGATGACTTCTTCAACAGATGGGGGTGTGTCAATAAAAGCTCCATTTTATTCACGTGTATAAAGTTTGCATATGAAGAACAATGAAAGGGCTGAAAAAACCAAAATCACATTTTTTGTTGGTGAAATCCCAATGACCAGACTCGAACCGAGGCACCAATTTGATTAAACCATATTGTTTACACATACGCGCTCGCGCAGACATGGTACGTGGAGTCCATCTTATATACATAATAAAGAGAAGAATAGTTTCCTCCAATAATAAAACATCACTCTTGCCAATAAGTTTCCATGAGATTTATTGTACACAAGTAAACCAAATCTCATGAGAAGACATATCACATAATTTTACAACCTCTTCTATGGAAAAGTAATTGAAAACAAAAAGAAAGACTGAACAAAAAATTAGTGTAAATTACTGGACAAACCTAGTTCAATATTGTGAGCACTTGAGCTGAATGGTGTGAATGCATCATACCAAGATTTCCCGTAGCTTTGATTCCATTGTTCCATTTCAGGGCTTCAGCCATACTCCACTCTCATCGCATGGGAAGAAAGTGAGCCTAGGACATCTAAATTTCTCCAAGTAAATCAAGTCAGGAAATGAAACTGGGATTTCTTTCCAATCCATCTCTAGTTCACTCAAGAACTTCAATCGCAGTGTCTCAACTGCCCACCTGTCGTTCTCCTCAACTTCGCCAAGATTTCGGAGTTGTCCTCCTCTAATGTAGAGTTTCTTTAGGCTCTTTAGATTTCCAGGCCTCAACCAACTGGGTGCTGTCTTCTGAGGGTAGCACTGCAGGTCCAGTTTCTCTAGATCTAATTCCTGATTCAAGGTAGCAGTCGACCTAAGCGCCCCTCTGAATGTTGGTAGTTTACTGAAAAAATGATTTTTTGTGATAGTTGGTGGTGTTGCTGGCTGTGGTGCAGCATTGTGTTGAGTGCTTGTTGTCGTGGGTTGAGCAGCAACATTATCTGGCTGGCCTTTATCCTGAGTGGTGGCCGGGGGGTATAACCGTCCCCATTCTATCGTTAGCTTTCGAAGCCGTCCAAATTTTTGTAAAACAATGAGCTCATCTTCTACGGGAAAATCCACCCTACTTGTGTGGATTGACAATTTCCTCAACTTCTTCAGTGCTGACAAATCATGAAAAGTACATGAAGTATCATTCTTATCATGAACACCAACTACGAATCCTTTAAGAACTTGGAGTTCTGAAAGGAAGGCAATCCCCTTAGGCATGCGCTCCAGCAAGTAACACTCAGACATATCCAAGTGTGTGAGATTCTTAAGTGAGCCTATTGTCTCTGGAAGTAGCTCTAAATTCGGACATGCTCCAAGATCCAAGATCCTCAAACTAAGAAGTTTCCTAGATATTCCTTGCAGACTTAAAATTCTCAAATGTGTCAAATGGATCAACCCTCTTAAGAATTCAATGTCATCTACTTCAATGTGATGCTTAGCCCTGCTGTGCCACCTTCCAAGATGAAGAACCTTCAGATTCCTCAACTTAGACCAGTCCACATTGGAAAAATCTGGATAAGACTCATTCACATTGAATACGGTGTGCAGCATTTTTGGATCTAAATCATGTGGTCTATTTGCCACATTTTGATCCAAATCATGTGGTATATTTGCCCTATTTTGATCCAAATCATTTGGTTTATTTGCCACCTTCTCCATCAGATGACGAGAGCCCTTCACCCGATACACCAAACACGCCCGATAAGAATGCGATGAAAAATTGGCTGTGGGACTACCTTTATTATCAAAATTAAAGAATCTCACCTCTTCGGCAATCACAATTACAGCAGAACGAATAAGATGGTGCATTTTAAAACTGTGCACAACCGATCTCCGTTTCTTATAAACAGGTTCAATGCAGCCCTTCTTGGTTAACTCTTGAAATATACCATCAGCAATTTCCTCCACTGTCTTTTCTCCATCAACAGGAGGGTTCACAAACCCTTCTCCAACCCACCAATGTACCAAAACCCTCTTCTTTATAGCCTCATTGGCAGGAATAGCAGCGAAACACAACAAACAGAGCTTTGCAATAACACTAAGACTGTTATAAACAACCCGAAATTCTTTAAGAGCTGGGCTATCCTTAAACACCTTACTTAAATGTAACTCAGGCATGCTATCAGGCTCTTTGCCAATGTCGGCCAGAACCAAAGGATTGTCCTTGTTGAACAGCAATTTGTCAGGAGACGGAATTAGGAGCTTTAGTTTCATGATTACCTTACTGTGCACCCGGAGCTTCTCCTCCAGAAATTTCTTAGCTTTGGACTCATGGATGGGAGTCTGTGTTGGGGCAGCCAAGAGACTGTGTTGCGGTTTTAGGAGAATCTTGAAAAGATTACAAGCGCTTTCTTCAAAATTCTTGAGTCCGGTGAAAGTCTGCGCAATGTAAATGAGGTCTTTGCGTAGCTTTTCAATTTGAGTAGCCATGTCCTTGTCATCGTCTTTGGCTTTGTTGAGGTGGTCAATCAGAGCGGGAATGATGTCTACTCTGATGCTCTCAAAGCAGATTTTGTCGGATTTGAGAGTAGACTCAGACATGCTTCAAGTAAACAAACGAAATCCAGAGTAAACATATGTCAAATGGAATTGAAATTTTGATTTATATAGGCCTGTTGCTTTGTACCTTGTCTCCTCCATTCAAATAAAATTACTCTGTTACTCTTTCAAAAAGTTTTCTATTCATAGTTAAGCTGTTGTCCTATACATTAAAACCGACCATTTCCTAAACCTCGTCATCCATAAATTAACAATGATACTGTCAACAAGGTAACGAGATATTTGCTTGTACAAACAGAAATAAATAATTCACTCATAGGGCATTTAGCACAAAAATTATCCACAAATAATAACAGAATGATGTATTTTCCGTACATTGCAAGAAATGGTAAGCAGTTAGCTTTAGCTGACACAGGAATTATATAATTGAAAATAATTTCAACAAAAGAAACAGAAGCAAACAACTTACTCTTGAGTTCAGGAGGCCTTGATGTTCTTCAAATTGTAACAGAATGTTCCAAATGCAAACACAGTGATTTAGAACCAACAAAATTAATAAATATATATATAAAAAAACCCATTACCTTTAAAAGTACGAAAGCATCAATTCTTTGCTGAGAGAGTGAGTTTTACTCCCTCTTTGTTGAGGCTGCTTTTCATGTGGGGCTTAGGACTGGTGGGGGCCTTCACCAATGACTGGATGAATGGATACTTGGGGAGGAAGATGTACATCCCCTTTAAAGGACAATCATTGGAATATCATATAGAAGATATGCATCACTTTGTGGAAGATCCTTAATTTCAAAACTCCCTCACCCATGAGTGAGTAAAAAAGGAATGAACGAGAGAAGGCGTGTTACCTGTGAGATGAATATCGCATCAACGTATATGAGAAGAATCATAACTTGAGAATCTCGGTGAAAGGTGAACCTGAAAGCATCGGGCTTGCTTTCAATAAAACCATAGGTGATGATGAAAGAGCTAAAGCGGTGAAACCACGTACGCGGTGCTTGCTTTAAGCTGTAAGTGGCTTTGTGGAGTTTACAAATATATGAGGATGTACGATAAGGGTCAACAGAACCTGATGGTCGAGTCATATACACTTCTTCACGATTCACGTGAGTGATCCAGGGAGGAAGCCATTTTTTGTTGATTTATAAACTCTTAAGCTGATTTATTAGGTAGTTAAATACATTTTCGTTTTAACTCTGTTTTGTAAGCCAAATGTAAACTTTCTATTGGATGACTAAAGGAATGGCTGACATCTCTTTGATGTACAAAGGATCCAGCTATTAAGCCTAACAGTCATATATTCCCTCACACTATGTGCGTGAGGTTGTAAGGAAGAGAGAGTGACTGAATGGAATAGAACATTGTATAGCACAGAAATCTTTGCTCTAAATTTTTTTTTTCTTCTTCATCACTCTGCCTTCCAAAATCTTAGAAAACACTAACATTTTTGACCTCTAACTAATGAGAAGGCCAACCACATGAGACTGAAATGGGGAGAACCATGGGAATGGATTTTGTCTCATGTAATGGTGAGGCATTGTAATGTTCTCACCTGTGAGGATTTATCAGTTATGTGCTGTGCAAAGTATGGAAGCTGGAGGTGTTGACTGTAGAAAGTCCATGAAGATATGGTTGACAAAGATTGGTGTATATGATCAGGATCCTACATTCCAAACCAACTCTACCAGTAGCATGTAAAAGAGAGTTAAACACTTAAACTTGTTCAAAGGAGTTGGCATGCGTAAGATACCTTCCCTTTCAAGCATTTCCCAAGATTCTCAATTTATTATTTGAGTTTTACCCTTTAATTCAATTTAGAATTTGTCTAATTTCAACATTTGAAGCAAAACAAAAAACCAAAAAAATAATGCTATATAAGGATCACAACCTACTGCTTTCAGTATGGAAGCAGAGCAATCAGTGTCAGGCAAATTAAGGTATTTTTGGTGCTTTGTTTGAAGTCGCCAAAAGGGTTCAGCTTTTCAGTTTCCATATAAATCAGGTAAATTTTGCAAAGTACATGCTTTTCAACATTGGATATAAGTTAACTATGAAAAATTACAAACTCATTTAACATGAGTGCAGGATCAAAGTTGATCTCTTAATTATGATGATATATTTCTAGATTAATAGATCAAAACCTGATAGATTTCGAAAGCAAAATACAATTGGGAAGCATTAGATTACTATTATTGATACCTATGGATTCCACTGCGTGGATTACTTTGGAACTTGTTCATGTATTGCCCGTCCCATCATTTTTGATTGATTTCCAACTTCAGAGCTTCCAAGTCTGAGGGATAGGATAGAATCGGATCATTCTCAACTGCGTCTTTGAATATTTTCCAGCAGCTTTCAGGGTCTGAAAGCGGCAAAAGGCGATGTATATTTTCTTCTCCGACCATCATCTTTGTTAGTTCTTCATTCCTACTTGTGACTATGACTCTACCCCCATTCCCTTTTGGCAATCCAAATGCGAACCCATCGTCCCATTTCTTATCACAGCTCAAACAAGAATCCAACTGTCCGTACCATGAATCGGTCTCCCTAGCATCATCAAGCACAATCAGATACCTCTTGCCCACCAATTGCTGGTAGAGAGCACACAGCAGTCCTTCGAGGCCGCGCTTCTCATCGAAAATGGACTTCACCGTCTCCTTTCCAACTCCAAGGTACACCAACATTCTTTTGACAATTGCTACTTTCAGATCTTCATCTTCGTGGCCATTCGGGTCTCTGGCCATGCACACCCAGATCCTTGGAAGGAAGTTGTTTTTCACCTCTGGTTTGTTGAATATCAATTGGCAAAGTGTTGTTTTTCCTATCCCTTCCCTACCAACAATGCCTACTGCCTTGAACCGATCATGACTTTCTTTTTCAAGAAGCAACTTTTCCATTGACACCACATTATCATCAAATCCATAAACCTTGGAATCATCTACTACACCAGTAGTCCACCTCGAAATCTCTGTGTCCCGTGAGCTTGTCTCTGTGTCCTGTGAGCTTGAAACACCATTGTTAGGTTGTAGTTTATCTTTCGTAGCCTTGAGTTCCCTCTTGATCTTATTTAACTCCCTCCTGATTCTGTTAATGGTGAGTAGCTCCTCAGGAGAATTGAAACCGTGTTTTCTTGTTAGCATCTGGCACTCAGTGACAACATTGTTGAGGTAGTAAAGCTTGTCCCTGATGGATGAATCTACAGGGGAGGATGAGCTGAAAATGTCTACAAGCAAAGACTTTATTTCTTGAAATTGGTTGTACCTGGGAATTTTGGAGATACTTTGGTCTTTCCCATCAAGAACTTTCTCGAATTGTTCCTTTAGATAATATTCAATTTCTTGAGCCATAGTACTCTCTCTCTGCAACTCTCTGTTGTTTATTCAAACTTGTAACAGCAATTGGAGCTCTCTGCTGCACAAAACCCAGAGGTGAGGATGTAATAAGTACACAATTCTGAAGGATAAAGAAGAAAGACAGAGAAAAAAACCTGATGGCTTCGGTGGACTGGAAACTGAAGAACCAAGCTGTGCAAAAAGGACTAGTTAGAGTCTGCTTTCCTGTTGACTGAGTTCATCTGGAACGATCACTTCACAGCCATTCTAGGAGTCAACTGTGAAGTCTATGTAAAATATCCCATAAATGAAATAAACTTTCTGAGGAAATATAATTGCAGCAGTGTTGTAAAATATCTTATAAATGAAATTGATTTTATTGTCATAAGTAAAAAATAAAAAAATATTCAAAGATCATTATGACTATTAAATTTTTTTTTCTTTAGAAAGCTATTAAATTTAATATATGACAAAAGAATGAAACACACACTTAGGTTCACCTGCTAAACCGGTAACTGGTTCTGGTTCTTGTTTGGGTTTTTTTTTTTGGGAAATGGCCCTCAGTGCCACCCATTTTATAATTTTTTGTCAAAATACCACACCTCCCCAAAAATTTTAAAACTACAACCTATAAATACATTTTTATTGCCCACTTATTGCCCACATAACACTTTTTCTGAAATTTAGTT